AATGTTAGGCAGAATGTTCCAGGAATTGGCACGCGTTGCCACAGGAGACGGCCTCAGTGCCACAGAAGACGGTCTCGGGGCCACAGAAGACGATCTCGGGGCCACAGGAGACGGCCTCGGGGCCACAGGAGACGGCCTCAATGCCACAGAAGACGATCTCGGGGCCACAGGAGACGGCCTCGGGGCCACAGGAGACGGCCTCGGGGCCACAGGAGACGGCCTCGGGGCCACAGGTGGCGGCCACGGCGACTATCTACACCGACATATATGTGGCTGGTCTCGCTGGAATCAGTTGTAGAGGCACATATGAACGCCATGTGTGTCTGGGTGTTCTCACGCCCCAGCGGTTTATTAATAAGGGAACCGGGAGCTGTTTGTTTGAACCTCCAGTGATTATCGCGTATGTATGCAGTCACTTTGTATTCTGAAGGCTTTTCTGTATTATTGTGTATACTGTAGCTGTATTGTGGTGTAGTTTATGGGGTTAGCAGCCGTGAATACAAATATTTTTGTGAGATATAAATAAATCCTTCAGCAGGTGGTCTGGAGTGAACACTTCATAATGTATGCCGCCACCACCACCCCCACCTGCCACCACTGTTGCTACCACCACCCTTACTGACACCTCTGCTACCACCACCACCCCCACCTGCCACCACTGTTGCTACCACCACCCTTACTGACACCTCTGCTACCACCACCACCCCCACCTGACACCACTGCGACTACTACTACCACCCCCCTGGCACCACTGTTACCACCACCACCACCCCCTGACACCACTGCTACCACCACCACCACCCTTACTGACACCTCTGCTACCACCACCACCACCCCCTGACACCTCTGCTACCACCACCACCCCCTGGCACCACTGCTACCACCACCCTTACTGATACCTCTGCTCACATTGTCACCACCCCCACCACCAGCCCAGACACCCCCCCCCCCCTGACTCCACCGCCCACACTCACCATCACAGTGATGCAAAAAATTACAATTATTATTTAACTGCCACAGTAAATCTTGCCCAAGTGGACCAAGTATGCTAAGCGAATCCTAAGGTTAGTCTTGTTATGTCAGGCATCTCTCCACTCGCTATTGGCCCGCCAGCTGTTTTGAGTCGACGACATAGCCTCGCTTCCCGCCAAAACTTGAAGAGCTAACCAGGGCCAGGAGTCACCAAGCATTTTCGCAACCCCTTACGAAACCAGTACATCTTTCAGCAATCATGGCGTGCTTGTTTACATTGCCCAATAAACTCGCCCCTCGGGGCAAAATTAAAAACAAAACAAATGTACAGGTTTGGTAAGTGGTTGCTGGACGTATCCTGAACATGTCCTTGGAACTCAGACGGACCACAGCAGTAGCAATCTGACCTGTACAGGTGTCTGACCTGCCTGACCTGTACGGGTGTCTGACCTGTACGGTACTTAACCTGGCTACGATTGCAGGACGAGAACACCCCCCCCCCTCTCCAGCTCCCTGTTGGGTTGCACGCTTCGGGGTGTCGGGGCGGGGCGGGGCGGGGCGGGGGTTCCAAGCTCGTGCTCTCTACCGATAGCTCACTAGTGGTGATAGTTAATGTTTTGAACCTCCAACACTTGTTCGTGATTCATGACATCTGTGACTGATACCGCACACCTGTCCACCCCCCCCACCCCCCACCCTCCCCCCACCAATTAATCACCGCCAGAGCTTGACATCTGTGATAAGCTCCTGACAGCTACCATCAGTACTTGACACACCTTTGATCAGTTCCAGATATTTGCACGTACTCACTGACACATCCCTTCCTTACCTTCACAATACTTTTCAGATCATTATTTGCCCATTTGCTGTCACATTTAAATTGTTCACAAACAGGCCTATAGCTATGTTAAGAACAATATTTACCTCAAGTAGATGCCAATCGTCTTGTTAAATATAATTTTGTTTCCTTAAAACACACACTTAATATTATTTAAATGCATACACAGATAAATCACATTTTTTTTATTTAAATGAAGTTAATCTCTGAAGCTGGAAGACGGAACTCTTTGACAGCGTCGTGTGCACAGTTACATCGAACAAAATACTCTATGTTAATTATTTATGAAGTGAGACTAGCGAAATGTAACACTTAAGTGGATATCACAACACTTTACCCCCTTTCCTGGCGATAAACATTGCAGCTAGGGGGATGCGGAACATTGCAGCTAAGCGCTAGGGGAATGAGGAACATTGCAGCTAAGCGCTAGGGGAATGAGGAACATTGCAGCTAAGCGCTAGGGGAATGAGGAACATTGCAGCTAAGCGCTAGGGGGATGAGGAACATTGCAGCTAAGCGCTAGGGGAATGAGGAACATTGCAGCTAAGCGCTAGGGGAATGAGGAACATTGCAGCTAAGCGCTAGGGGGATGAGGAACATTGCAGCTAAGCGCTAGGGGAATGAGGAATATTGCAGCTAAGCGCTAGTGGAATGAGGAACATTGCAGCTAAGCGCTAGGGGAATGAGGAACATTGCAGCTAAGCGCTAGGGGGATGAGGAACATTGCAGCTAAGCGCTAGGGGAATGAGGAACATTGCAGCTAAGCGCTAGGGGAATGAGGAACATTGCAGCTAAGCGCTAAAGAATAAGGAACATTGCAGCTAAGCGCTAAAGGATGAGGAACATTGCAGCTAAGCGCTAAGGGATGAGGAACATTGCAGCTAAGCGCTAGGGGAATGAGGAACATTGCAGCTAAGCACTAGGGGAATGAGGAACATTGCAGCTAAGCACTAGGGGAATGAGGAACATTGCAGCTAAGCGCTAGGGGGATGAGGAACATTGCAGCTAAGCGCTAAGGGATGAGGAACATTGCAGCTAAGCGCTAAGGGATGAGGAACATTGCAGCTAAGCACTAAGGGATGAGGAACATTGCAGCTAAGCGCTATGGGAATGAGGAACATTGCAGCTAAGCGCTAAGGGATGAGGAACATTGCAGCTAAGCGCTAGGGGGATGAGGAACATTGCAGCTAAGCGCTAGGGGGATGAGGAAGCCCGAGAGAGCGTGCGCCACCGACAGAACGGCGTTCGGTGACGAGGATTCTTGGGCACGGCCGCTCGTAATGATGGTCAGCTGTCGATGTCACGGGGAAAGCCAGGTTAATTAGTAAGCGTTAACAGTCAAAGGGTTGGGTAAGTGAGCAGCGTCCGGGGCGTTAATGGGTTGGGCGGCCATCAGGGCGGCGGCTTGAGAGCGCGCGACCCTGTCACCATTCGCTAGGCTCCCAGCGAATACGCATTGAGCTGGTAGATCCAATAACCACGCATGCACCCGCTCGCGTGCGTGTTCGTGTGTGTGTGCGCGCGTGTGTAAATGATGTACTGAATTAATATGGATTTTTTGAGTGAACATTTTCGTTGGTAGTCTAACGACTTACCGAAAGTTAGTAGTAAGTAAATACTGCTAATCTACAGTAATTTGTTGTTTCGTGCGAAAGTGTTTGAGTGGTGTGAAGCCCGTACACAGAAGCCCGGATGTTAGGTAGTTGAGAGCACCATCTAGTGTCCGCACCGTCCAGAGACTCGATCAATAAATGTCCTACACACAAATACACATATATATGTACACACAGTATTTCACCGCATCCACCGGCTAGCTTGACTCTCCCAATCACATTCCTGGCTGTCGTGGCATCAGGCCATCACGCTTCGTGGCACTGAACTACCCACGAAGTACAGTAGTTCTTGGAACTACTTGGGCAGTAGTCCAAGTGCCCGATAACCAATTGAGCTTGTTGATCATTTACCTGGACGGTGCGAACGTCGAGGAACCTTCCTTCGGTCCTTCTCACCACTACCACCACCACCCTCCTGAAAGTGACGATGACGAGCCGACTCGTGCGAAACTCATTCTTTTCCTTCGCCACGCGACCGTTTTTCAGTGTCCACAATGCCGGTTGGATCCCTCCTTTGTTGACACTTGGTGCTGCTCTTTCAAGGCTTGATCGAGCTTATTACCGCACTATAGATTAATGACACTGCGATAAGGAGAGTTTGATCAAGCAGTTACGCCAACGAAGGGCCGAGCACACCCGATCTGGTCATCAGGTTAAGCGGCATTGTGGCCGACCAGCGGACTTAGTCACGTCATTAGCAGTAATTGGATTTTGGTGGTGGTGGTGGTGGTGGTAGTGGTGGTGGTGGTAGTGGTGGTGGTTCTCTGATAACTTTGTAATAGTGCGATCAACAGAGACCCGGGAAAGTGGTCATTGTTGGGCTCCTGAGGTTGCTGTGGCGACTACCAGACACTGTCAAATGGTGTAGCTGCAGAGGGCCCTCGGTCCCTGGACACACCGTGTAGCTTCAGTGGGCCCTCGGCCCCTGTGTAGCTACAGTGGGCCCTGGACCCCGTGTACCTACTGTGGGCCATGGACCCCGTGTAGCTATAGTGGGCCCCTGGACCCCGTGTAGCTATAGTGGGCCCCTGGACCCCGTGTAGCTAGAGTGGGCCCTGGACCCCGTGTAACTATAGTGGGCCCTGGACCCCGTGTAGCTATAGTGGGGCCCTGGACCCCGTGTAGCTACAGTGGGCCCCTGGACCCCGTGTAGCTACAGTGGGCCCCCTGGACCCCGTGTAGCTACAGTGGGCCCCTGGACCCCGTGTAGCTAGAGTGGGCCCCTGGACCCCGTGTAGCTACAGTGGGCCCCCTGGACCCCGTGTAGCTACAGTGGGCCCCCTGGACCCCGTGTAGCTACAGTGGGCCCCCTGGACCCCGTGTAGCTAGAGTGGGCCCTCGGCCCCTGGAACCACCAAACAAACATTAACCTACAAAAAAATATATTTTTATGACATTGCTAAAACGTAATTCTTTTTATTTAGTTTTTAAGTTACGTATTTGTCTTAATCTTTTGGGAGGTTGAACGATATTTGTCTATGAATCATTGCACTGTGTTAAATTATCATACACTTTTAAAAACATGTTGTGATTTGACCGGGACGATGACCAATTACTAAAGTGTGTTTCTCTTTTTGTTTCAGGGGAGGAATGCGAGGGAAAAGAAGGTGGCATCGACGGGGAGGAGGGCGACTCCCTGACCTCTAGCCCAAGACACCGCCGGTAAGTACATACCAGTTATTACATATTTGCGTATTAAGCTCTTGGAAGATCATCGTCATGATAAAGTAGACACCAAGCATTTTCCCCCATCTCCTTTTGAAGTATAGGAAAAAACACAAATAACCCGGTTAGGTTCCATATGTCTGCTTCACAGGAGGGAGGCTTTGAGTTATATAATAAATAAATATGAAATAATAAATAAATAAATAACTGTTTATTCAGGTAAAAGTACATGCTCTTAAGATGAGTTTAAACAGAATGTTGGATTTCTAGATAGAGGTAGTTCATACTAAGCCTAAAGTTCGGGCCATGGCTACAGCCTAACGTGTATTAGTTTGCTGTATTTGCTATAGTTTACTGCTCTTGTTGTAGTTTTATTTCATAAGAGAAGGATACTAACGTATGTTTTCTTTCCAGGGACAGTGGAAGTGTAGCGTCGCGCGAGGGACTCTCCCCTAAGATGTCACCCCGCCACTCCCCTCGAGAGTCCCTCAACTCCTCCCCGGCTCCCCTGGGGTCGCCGCGGGCCACGCCCCCGGCACTCCGCCCACTGACATCACCTCCCTTCATGAGAGTCTCCGACACCGAGGCCGATATTCTCGACTTCTCCCTGCGGCGTTCACCGGCCTTCAACAGGGATGACGCCCTCAGCATGTCCGCGAGGTCTTCCCTTGCGGGGTCGCCACCACCTGGCTTCCATCGCCTCGGTGACTCTCCGCTGGACCTGTCGGTGCCCCGCAAGAGGGCAGCAGATGCCCTACTGGAAGCGGCACAGGGCAAGATGCACCATGATCTCGCCAAGGGCTTGGGTGCTTGGGGCATCCCTCTACCACCCCACCTAGCTAGCGCCATGGCCCTCAGGCCTGACTTGGCAGCCCTCAAGCCGGAGCTGGCACTCTGGAATGGAAAGCTTAAGAGTGATAGCTTATCCACCAAGCTTCCCCCATTCCCCATGGGCGCAGTGTCTCACTCACCCTCCGAAGGTTCCAGAGCCTTGGAACGGATGAGTGAACTGAGTAAGCTGGGCGGTGACGGTGGTCTGGACTTGTTCAGGGGCGGGTTGAGCGGCAGTTCGGGTCGGGCGACGGCTTGGCAGAGCCACTGGCTTAGCAAGGGTCAGGATGCTACTAAGGACGTGCTTAAGTGTGTTTGGTGTAAAGCTTCATTTAACACTTTGGCTGAACTCACGACCCACATGAAAGAAGCCAAGCACTGCGGGGTGAACCTGCCGCCCCCTATCCCACCGCCTTCTTCCAGCGCCGCCTCTATGCACACCCACCTCCCGCCCCAATACACGCCCACTAAGACGCCCACCTCAAAACCGCCTTCTTCCTCCTCCTCTATTGCATCAGGTTCTTCATCCTCCAGTGACCTGATGTCGAGCATTAAGGAAACAATGCCGCTTCCCCGGAAACTTGTGCGTGGTCAGGATGTGTGGTTAGGCAAAGGTGCTGAACAGACCCGTCAAATCCTGAAGTGTATGTGGTGCGGCCAGAGCTTCAAATCTTTGGCCGAAATGACTCAACATATGCAACAGACACAACATTACACTAACATAATCTCTCAGGAGCAGATTATCTCATGGAAATCCCCCGAGGAAAAATCCAGTAGCCAAAGCCACGTGAATGCCGTTCTTACCTGTAAGGTGTGTGACCAGGCATTTGCTTCGCTCAAGGAACTTAGTAATCACATGGTGAAGAATGCGCACTACAAGGAGCATATCATGCGATCCATCACAGAATCTGGAGCACGGCGGAGGCAGACCCGGGAGAAACGCAAGAAGTCGTTACCTGTCCGTAAACTTCTGGAGCTGGAGCGGGCCCAGCAGGAGTTCCGTGCATCATCGGACGGCGGTAGGGGCATCAAGGACCAGTCAGGGTCAGGACGTATCTCGTGTGAAAAGTGTGGCGACAAGATAGAAACTCCTCTATTCGTGGACCATATCCGCAACTGTGTAGGCGCCTCTTCCCGCGACTTGCTCAAGTCAGCGCTGCTCTCCCCCGACAGCGACTACAGCAACAAGCTAGACTCTGCTCCTGAAACAGACAGTGAAGGTAAGAAGACCCCCGAGAAAACCCCCCGTGATAGCCCTAGGGAAAAAGACTTTGATAAGCCAAGGGGTCGTGGTGCTTCTGAATCTCCATCAGTCTTAAATGCTCTCGAAAAACTGATCGAAAAGAGTTTTGATTCGGGTAAGGCAAAACCCGGCGCCGGGCCCCTAGGGTCTAGTATTCTCCGCCGGCTTGGTATCGACGAGAGCGCTGATTATTCCAAGCCACTGATGGACCCCCAACTGGTGGGAATGTACGCCACTTTCTCCCGGCTTCACGGTGTACCACCCCACGGTGCAGGGGCACCATCCACCTTCAATTTACCCCCTTCGTTTGGTTCGAGCGACAGAGGCTCGGGGTTGCGGGGCCTCGGGGACTCCATGATGAGCCCAAGTGCAGACTCAGACACTCGCGACACATTCCCGCGGTCACCGTCGCGGCCTGGGTCGCGCCCGGCCTCCACGGGCTCCATAACACGGGACGGTAGTGGCAGCGAAAGGTCTCTGGAGCTGCTGAGACCAGACAGCCACCCCGCCGCCACACCCGAGGATATCACACCTACCGAGAATGGCGCCGATCATTCTGATAACGAACATGGCAGTCTTTGTGGCAGGGAGGAAGTGAAACAAGAACCTCTGGAAACAAACGGAGAGATTAGTGACCGGGAATCTGTGTCTGTCAGGGAGGATCTCAGAGTGAAGGAAGAGATACGGGTTAAAGAAGAATTCAAATTGAAGGAGGAAGGCGATGATGAGGAGAATGACCTGACTCACGATGTCGGGCGTGAGTCTCCCGCCGGACGCCTGATGGGGTCCCCGGCGGGGTGCAGTAGCAGGTCCGGCACCCCCCACTCAGAGGCCAGTGTGGGTGGACGCTCAGGTTCTGGCCTCGGGGCGGCTGGGCTGGGCGGCCTCTCGGCTCTGCTCGGAGGTGGGGGCGGAGGCAGCTCCTCACACCCTCTGGCGGCGCTACAGAAGCTGTGTGACAAGACAGAGACGCAGCCGCGGCCGCCACCAGTGAGCGGAGCGTCCAGCGGACCACAGACGAACCCCGGAGCAATTCTAGCTTTTTCTTGGGCGTGCAATGATGCAGTGACCGCTGACAGCATCATGAAGTGCGCTTTCTGTGACACTCCCTTTATAAGTAAGGGCGCTTATCGACATCATCTCTCGAAGATGCACTTTGTGAAAGATGGTGTAATTCCCGAGAACGCGGGCGGGAAGGCGAGCAGCGGCAAGCCGCCACCGCCCACCGGTAAGGCGGCCACGCCCCCCGCGCCACCTGTGGAGGAGTCTCCCCACTCCAAGTTCCTGAAGTACACGGAGCTGGCCAAGCAGCTGTCCAGCAAGTAGTGCCGGCCGCTGCCCCGGGGTGGCCGCCCTCCCCAAAACCCCCACCCGCGCCCGCCAAAGACCCCCCGCCCCCGCCCGCCCCGTGTACAGTGTGGCGTGGCTCGTGTGTACAGTGTAACTATTTATCCTTCGTGAGAGCTTGGTGGCCCCTGTAGTCTTGTGATACCTGGCAGCTTGGAGGCGGCGGCGGCCGGGGTCCCCCTCATATCACCCGCCGCCCGGGACTGTCACTACCGGCGGGCGCTGCTCCCGTCCCCCGCCCGCAGGAAAGACACGTGCCAACAATCAAAACAACCCGCAGAGTACAAAGTGTGTGTTGTGGGCGGGCTGGGTTGTGGCCACGCCCGTAGTAGCGAGGGAGCCCGCGCCCACAGCCGGCCCTGGACCACCGGGTGCCAGGGACCTGCAGGCGGCCGCGGGAGGGCGCGGCGCCCCCTGCCCCTCGGTGCGCCCTCGCCTCACGCTGTGTATCCTCACGCTCGCGACGATGTGATCGTCCCGGGCCGTCGCAAACTGTTAATCGCTCACACTCGCTGTCACTTTTTCACATAGGTATTAATATATAGACGATATAAGATTAAGCTGACATGGCAATGATCAAATTGATTGTTGATAATTATTTGGGAAACATCAATGATGTATCAATATCATCCTTTTTACGATATGCTGTCTTTGACTTGCTGAAAGTGATCTCAATGCTTTATTCCTAGTGTAAAGAATCGCGCCTGACCAACAGAACTGTTCTGCGAGGCTTTGGAACCCCTAGCCTGGGTCCTAGCGAGAGCAGCGTCCCCCCCCCCCCCCCCACACCACCACCAGCCTCGCCGTCACCCCCTCCAGCAGGCGAGCCCTCGCCGGCTCGCCCTCCCTCAGCTCGCCTCCACCAGGCAAACGCCCTCCCTCCAACCCAACCAATTGGCTGGTCACCCAACACCTTCACACAGACATCACTAGTTTCATCCCACGAACTGATGACACAGCTACTGTGAGAAGCCTACAACTTGATCACAAGTTGTACCTGTGTACAACAACCCTTTCACAACACTACACAACCCTTTACTAACCATTCTTATTATTATTATTAGGTTGTCATTATAGTTTCCACTGACATTCACAGTGGCAGATCATGAGACTACACAAGCATCCTATGAGTTTGGCATCTCAAGAACCGTCGACACACATCAACATATTATATATATAACCGTCGACACACATCAACATATATATATATATATATATATATATATATATATATATATATATATATATATATATATATATATATATATGTATCTTTCTAGTGTGCCTATTGTTGTGTCTCACGCAGTAATTGTGCTTAGTACCGACACTGGTGTCGCTAGTAGCACTACTGTTATCATGCCCAGTAGCACTACTGGTATCGTGCCTAGTAGAGCTACTGGTACCGTGCCTAGTAGCTCTACTGGTATCCTGCCTAGTAGAGCTACTGGTATCCTGCCTAGTAGCACTACTGATATCCTGCCTAGTAGAGCTACTGGTATCCTGCCTAGTAGAGCTACTGGTATCCTGCCTAGTAGAGCTACTGGTATCCTGCCTAGTAGAGCTACTGGTATCCTGCCTAGTAGAGCTACTGGTATCCTGCCTAGTAGAGCTACTGGTACCGTGCCTAGTAGCACTACTGGTATCGTGTCTAGTAGAGTTACTGGTATCGTGCCCAATTCTCTATTTTCTAATCAAAGAACACTTTTTGGGCTTCTGGGAAAAGCTTACCTGAACACGTCATTAGCGAGAATCTGATAATTCCGTTTATTTTAGTTTTTTCATCATGACTGTCAATGCGTGGGAGCAGGAGTGTGTGTGTGGGTCTCTGTGCAAGGTCGCTGACCTACCGTAGCTCCGCCTGTCTACTGCGCCGTCTCCTTCCTCGCAGAGGGCGCCTGATAATTCATCCCTAATGAGATACCGCCTATCTGAAATGAGTTTCACGATTCGAGGCGTGAACCCCGGCGGTTTCAAAGCCAAGCCAGCCAGATATGTTTCGCATCAATCATGAAGGCCTGTTGATCACTGAGTCGATCATTCGCACAGGTCGGTCCGCTCAGCTCCCGACAAGAGCCGGAAGTCGCTAAAAGCCTGCAGTGGTATATACAGCGGTGTGTGTGTGTGTTGGTTTATCTCTCACTACCCACTCACTCCTCTTCCCCCCCCCCAGAGCATCTTCCCTCAGCCTCAACGTCAGTTGCAGCAGCTTGGAGGTCATCTTCATTCATCCAAGAATATCAGTATATCAAAGGGGATTGCCATACAGACGAGAATGCAAGCACACTTAAATATTTACAGTAATATTTAACTGCGCAGCACTTCTACTATTTTGCATCTTTATGCTTTCCATATAATACGGAGAATGGACCTGGAACAGACGGAGAATGTACGATCGCTGCCGCTTTATCTTATGACATACGATCCTCAGAGTGGCGGGGTACGATAATAGTGCGTCTCTCCGATCACAATCACATCTCGCGGATGAAGCATGTTGGTGGGTTGCTAAGGCGGTGCCGGCGGGGCTAATTTTAGAATGATACATGCTGCCAGCAATACAAAGGGCGGAGGAGTAAGCCAGTGCACACTCGTCAAGCCCTTCGCATCCCGCGGTAATCAGGGGTTGTCAAGCGTGATTTAGCAGCGGGCCGGAGCCACAAGATGCGCAGCCGTGCGTAGTGAGGCGTCTTGTCCCTTACACTCCGGCTGCTGCTGTTGTTGGTCCTTGTCTCCCCCCCTTCCACAACCCCCCACCCATCTTGCCTGTCCTGACCATCCATTACAACTATCCATTCTCCTCCCCATCCTGGGGTTCAACCAGGACCCCTCCCCTCGGCACAACACCCATAAAACCATCCTCTCTCTGAGCTATCCCTAGGTCATCGCCGTCCCCACTCCCCGTCCCTCGCCCCCACACCTTCCTCACCCCACGCGGCCCTCGACGGTGTTGAGAGCGGATGTAAATCATACCAGCCGCAGATACTTGGTGTGATACCAGCCGGAGACCGTATAGTGACATGCCCTTGGAGGCCGGCGAGGCCAGGCGAGAGAGGTCGAGCCGTGTTCAGACTCTCACTGATACTTACGGCTTACACCTACATCATAAAATTAATACAAAAAGGCATAAATATAGTGCAAGTGGCTGAGAGTCTACGAGGATTATTAGATGGCACTGCTTAGCAATGATGAAGTTGCGCTTTCTCTTGTATCAATGTGTTAAGATTTTTCTTATCTGGAACCTCATGTCATTTACACTTGTAAATTCGTCCGTTGATGGAAAGCCGTAAATCATCTGTCATATCCAGCTTATACAGTATAATGTAGAATTCAATTCGTCGAGAACACCATTGATAAATTTAGTCAACCCGGTGAGGCAACTAGGCAGAGTTGAGAGGCATATATATATATATATATATATATATATATATATATATATATATATATATATATATATATATATATATATATATATATATATATATATATAAAATATGAACAACAGACACAAGACAAGAGACGACACAATCACAGTACACGGTGGAAGACAAGTAACTTATCCCTTCTGAGTTGCCATATGAGATAACGGCATACTCCTGGAGGGAGGGGTGCTGGCTGGCGTAGAGGTAGAGCAAATAATGAAAAAAAAGGAATCAAAATGGAAAATATTATTCTCGGTGATGGCTGGTCAGGAAAAGTAATTAGCTGTAATTGTTTTAGGTTGTGTGGAGACCAAGGTTGCTCTTGTTTTTCTCAGCCTTTTCTCCTCTATGGTATACCAAATCTCGGTTGAAATTGTAAATGTAATTACCATATGGATTATTTGTACATTGATATTTTTATAGAAATCTATGACTTGTTTCCCATGTGATATGTGACTTAATTCCTTGGGTTGTTGGTCTTGTATAACGTTTGCATTGGCCTGTGTGTACTTAAAAAGCCCTGTGAGACGCTGCTCCCCGCAGAGGACAGGTTCTGCTCCACCTACAACGCTGTGGATGTTAGTGAAGGGCTCCCGCGGGGCGCCCTCTGGGGGGGAAGCGCCCATACGCGCCTCACACCCAACAAGGAGATTTTGACAGTCCAAACTTGAGTGTCCAAGTGCCAATTCAACTTTCATTAATATACGTAATATGGAATTTCTATCGAGATAAATGGGGTCTTTCCCTGAAATATGAATCTTTATAAATTGATCTGTGTATATCTTGCTATAATTGGACCTAATCTTGGTACCATTTCCATAATATTTATGTTCTTTCCAAGCTTAAAACTTCAGATCAAAGATCTGATTATAAATAATTAAGAACTCTCCTTTGCCAAACTTCCAATGATCTTCATTCAGGTTATTGTTAAGTTCTGTTACCTGTTCACATTTTTTTATTTGACCCCCCCCCCTTTCTTTATTTTTCTGGAGCTTAGCCAAATAAGACCCCTCCCCCTTTCCCCCTCCCCTCCCCCCTCTCAATCATTCCTGTACACCCCCGTGAGGTATGATAAGCCTTGCCACGCATGCCCATCCACCACAGGGCAGTGGGCACTTCTACCACCACCACCACCACCACCACCATACTTAAAAAAAAAGAGTTCATCGAGGAACAACCATTGTGTTTGGTAGTGTTGGTTATCAACAATGTCATGTGTAAAATTTTAAAATAGACCAAAAAAAAAATCCCATTATACAATTACAGTTTTGTGAATCGACGAAAAAAAAACCATACAAACAATAAGTGTGTGTGTGTGTGTGGTGATTTGTGACCAGCCTTGATGGACTTATGCATTTTTTATGTTTTTTTTTAATTATTATTATTATTATTATGATTATTATTATTATTTGTGTCAATGTGTGATTGGCGGGGGTGGGCCCAGCACGCCCCCTCCCATGTGAACAGCGGTGCATCTCTCCCACACTGCGCTCTGTGCTACTCTGAGTTATTTGTTTTTGTACAGTTCAAGTCCCTATTTGTAAATTATTGCGTTTTCCTCTCTTGAGCTTCCAGTTGTAAAGTTACAATAAATGAAAATAAAGTATCTGGAGTGGATGTTGTATGTTTCATTGTATTCTTCCTCTTCTTTGGATTTTCATTGTACTATATTCCTCTGTGTTTGCAAATGACGAAAATATTTTGAGGAATTTAAAAAGTTATCCCCAGGAATTGGATTTTAATATATATTTTAGATTTATTTCATTTATTAAAAAAACATTTGGTTATAATTAAAAAAAAGAAAACTTGAAGTACAGTATTTGAAAAAGAGAATCTACACATTGGGTTAAGAGTAGCTTATCCTATAAGTTCCCATTTCAATTAAAAGTCAATAAAAATTTTACTATAAAAAATTTGCATTAATCTATACATCATATCATTCATTGATTTATACAATATACTTCTGTGAAAGGCACGTATAACTCCTCTCAGACCTTAAGGCGTTCCTTTGGAAACTAAGCCTCTTAAGGAGCTCAAGTAGAGTTTTTCCTTTGGTACAAAAAGACGTATTAACATTACAAAGAACAATCTTTATTATGAAATAAAATAAACTATGACTCTTGTGTTAAGCTGAGAAAGGAGACATAGACATACAGACATGTTGAAGCATTCCTATAGACATTTTTGTATTCGAAAATATTTTTTACAACTTCAAAAATCTATTTTACTTAAATTAAATAGTGATAGAGTTAAGGAATGACAAAGCAAGTTTGGTTGGCTAATTTCCTAAGTAACATTTAGTTTAAATTCGGTAGTATGGAAATTCTGTTGTTTATAATAAATGCATTATCTGTAAAATTAATAGTTAAAAAGTCATTGTTAATAATTTTGTCTGAAAAGCAGTAAATTGATAAATAAATTGTATATTATATATATATATATATATATATATATATATATATATATATATATATATATATATATATATATATATATAACAATGATCACAAAAACACTGATGCAAGTATGCAGAATGTGAAAAATAGAGAATGCTTAATGCGTTTTCAGTATATTGCACACAAGCGAGGGATCGAACCACGGTCTTCTCCGTTACGAGGTGGGTGTTAACCTCTTCAGTAACTACACATTTCTCAACACCCATATGTAGAAAATATTGAATATTAAATGAATTCTATCAATCAGCTCTAACACTCAGTAGCATATACTGGTACCAGCGCTCTGTTACACCACTCAGTAACAAGTGGACAGAGCTAGACATCTGGACATGTCTCCTAACACCCACTGCTTCTCTTCACTCAACAGAAAATTAGGTACATTCGATAAAAAAAATAGAATGTCCCACAAACAAATCGAGGAAAGTAACAATCCATTCTGCCAACTATCATCCACAGAGAAAGGCCTCTGAGAAAGGAGACTAAATTTACTTCTGCGCCTGTTTAAGAGTGCATGTTTTTGCATGTTATAAGCAATAGCTGGAATCTAATAAAAAATAAATGTTTCCTGTAAAGTGCAGTAAAACTTGAAATTATCTTCGGCATTCTGTTCCTGATGTTGTAGTATCAGCCGTAAATGTTGATCTCCCAACCTTGTAATCGAGAGGTTTCGATTCCACGCTGGTTTAATGGATTATATAAACTCGATTGGCTTGAACGATATATGTGAAAATACTCTACATGGGATTGGAATCTACGGCCCCTCGACTTTCCGACACCACGCTGGACCGTCAAACCCGTTATCCAGCATGAAAAGGTTGAGGACATCTGGGAGGACGTTTATGATCCTGATCTACAAATTGGGTAGTTAAAGGTAACCGAGTGTTTACACACACACAAGCTCGCGCGCGCGCGCACGCTTGTACTCTACACCAGTCTATGCTTGCTACTCCAGCCAATTATATATTATATATATATATATATATATATATATATATATATATATATATATATATATATATATATGTATATATATGTATGTATATATATATATGTATATATATGTATGTATATATATATATATATATATATATATATATATATATCATATATATATATATATATATATATATATATATATCATCATATATATATATATATATATATATATATATATATCATCATATATATATATATATATATATATATATATATATATATATATATATATATATATATATATATATGTCGTACCTAGTAGCCAGAACGCACTTCTCAGCCTACTATGCAAGGCCCGATTTGCCTAATAAGCCAAGTTTCCTGAATTAACATATTTCTCTAATTTTTTTCTTATGAAATGATAAAGCTACCCATTTCATTATGTATGAGGTCAATTGTTTTTTATTGGAGTTAAAATTAACGTAGATATATGACCGAACCTAACCAACCCTACCTAACCTAACCTAACCTATCTCTACAGGTTAGGTTAGGTTAGGTAGCCGAAAAAGTTAGGTTAGGTTAGGTTAGGTAGGTTAGGTAGTCGAAAAACAATTAATTCATGAAAACTTTGCTTATTAGGCAAATTGGGCCTTGCATAGTAGGCTGAGAAGTGCGTTCTGGCTACTAGGTACGACATATATATATATATATATATACACACACACACACACACGACATATTTTTGTTCTAAATCTAAACATATCTCATTTAAATTCTTTGATGTTTGAATTTTACTAGACTTTTGAGATTCGTACTTATACACCCTTTTCTAGACCCTTTTCCTCCATGTCAGTACTTCAGGTTAACTCTCCTTACTCTATGCCTTTATAGGGAATCTTAACTGAGGTTTCTTATTTTCTCTCTTCATATCTTAGGTTCCATAATACAATAGATCAATTTTCTCATCCTTCTCTGAATGTTAAGGTAATTTTTTAGTACAGTGACCAAAACTTTCCTTCATTACTTGAGTTTAACATAGGGGAGGGGGGAGCAAGATAAAGCTGAAAAAAAATAAACATTTTGATATGAGTTTAGATATAAACAATGTATTCTACCGGTCTTATATCGACCATTTATGCATTGTCTGTTTCATATTTTACCAAATCATCACTCCAAGTTATTTTATTAACACAATTATCAGCTGAAAATCTAACACTGCTTTAATATTTTGCAAGGCTTAGGATCCTACACCTGCCAACAGTCAACAGTTACACAAGATGGGAAAACTTTGAACTGTCACAACACTACATAAAAACGTTAATATTCCTTCTTGTAATTACCCGCCAATCAGCTTGACGTTGATCGTGAGTAAACACACGGAAACATTTAAAACATTATTATGCGACATTGACAGTCATCGATTAGTTGAAGATTTTCGGCATGGTTTTCGTTGAAATTAATTGTCTGGCACATCTTAATTTTCTTTATAGCATTTTATCTAAGAGTTATTATTTATGTTAGACTAAAGTAAAGTAGTTGACATACTATATCTGAATATCCAGAAAACGTTGGGTACATGTTTTCCTCACTGAAGACTGCTTTTAAGAATAAATGTTCCTGATATAGAAAAGTGTTTTTTAACCCTTTTTTTGGAACGGCTCTATTTTCTAATACACAAAAGACCCCAAGCAGGAGGTGGTTTCATATATCTTTGGTTGGAAAGTTGGTTATCTGGCTACAACAAAATGTGTAGTTCTGAATGAAACTGCATTGCGTAGGTTAGAAATTATTTGTACTCTTAGAAACAGTTTTGTTCTTGATTTATATAAAGGACATTGATAATGGGGTTAGACTACACCATATATAAATTAGCTGATGACATTAAACATGGAAGCGGTGTTGCGTGACTTTGAAGCAGAACGGAGAAAACAGGAACCAGCAGGTCCATTGTTCATCACAATGAGATGTGTCAAGTAAAACATGTGTATGTTGCAAGTAACAACATCAGCAGACTAACAGATGTTGTCACAGTTCGAATAAGACTTGGCTACAGGTGTCTCCGGCAGTTCAGCCTGTATAGGGATCTAGATAAAGTAAATCTTACTGAAGCGACCTTACGAGTCATAAATACTCATACTCCGCCCAAGTAAAACAGAAACAAGCAACACTTAGTGGGCCAGCCAGAGGCTTAGGGCCCGCGCAGGAATATCCCTGAAAAAAAAATGAAGTAAAGTGTGAAGTGTGGACAAAGACAGGGACACACACTAGAGCACTATATCTTAGACTGTAATAAAATTGAGCCATTTAGAAAAATAACTCCAAACTCACGCTGCTTGAAATGGCAAACTATCTTAATACAAATGATAAAATATCTGAAATGCACTGTATCCATATTTCGCGTCTATAAAATAAATGATGTACATGGGATAATAAACAGGCAGTGCAGTGTGAAGACTAATAATAATAATAATATTTATTCAGGTAAAAGTAAATTAATTCAAAGAGAGTTAAAACAGAATGTTGGATTTCTAGATAGAGTTAGTACATACTATGCCTAAAGCCACTAATACGCACAAAGTTTCGGACCAAGAGTAATAAGCAGCACCTCTTCGATGAGTCGGTTACATCCCCATATCAACATATTTGACGTATTAGCAAAGGACCGTCCATCAACGTATACAAATTATAATTTTTATTTGTGTAAATACATATTCTAATGAAAATCCTTTTTTTTTAGTAACTAGCTGTCATTGTCATTATAAGGTGTACAAGTTAGATGAGATTATTTATGTTAAAATATCCGCTGAGGTCTGATTAAGAGCTCTTGTGCTGTCTAGTCCTTTTGCACTACCGCTCACAGGATGAGTATGGGGTGCACAATAAACTACCGCTCACATGATGAGTATGGGGTGCACAATAAACTACCGCTCACATGATGAGTATGGGGTGCACAATAAACTACCGCTCACATGATGAGTATGGGGTGCACAATAAACTACCGCTCACAGGATGAGTATGGGGTGCACAATAAACTACCGCTCACAGGATGAGTATGGGGTGCAAAATAAACTACTGCTCACATGATGAGTATAGGGTGCACAATAACTTCCGCTCATAGGAAGAGTATGGGGGTGTACAATAAACTACCACTCACAGGATGAGTATGAGGTGCACAATAAGCTATAGCTCATAGGAAGACTATGGGGGTGCACAATTAACTACCGC